AGATGCAATAGCTTGTTTCTTACTACGCCATGAAATAAGAGAGTTACCAAGAAAGAGACAATAGCTAGTAGTGGATCTTCGATTTGTAAGATCACCAGCCCAATCAGCATCTGAATATGAACGAAGGACAAGGGAGGAATGAGCTAAGAAGTGAAGTCCATGAAATAGTGTTCCCTTAACATAGCAAATAAGACGAAGTACAGCAGCATAATGAGTGGAGCGGGAGGCAGCCATAAACTGACTAACAACATGAATTGCATATGCTATGTCTGGGTGTATTGTAGTAAGATAAACCAAACTACCAACCAATTGCCGATAACGAGTAGGGTCAGGGAGTGGAGAACCATCTAACGGTGTAAGCTTGACATTCTGTTCAAGAGGTGTGCAGACATTCTTACTATCAGTGAGACCGGCTTTAGATATGAGATCTGATACATATTTCATTTGAGAGAGAAGATAACCATCATCTGAGGATGTAACTTCAAGCCCCAAAAAATAACTTAAAGAGCCAAGGTCTTTCATCTCAAATTTGTGGCTGAGAAACTACTTAAGCTCATCAATCCCTGAAACATCATCTTCAGTGATAATCATATCATTAACATATATGAGTAAGAGAACCATTCCCCGAGCAGATTTATGGACAACTAAAGCTGTATCATGTGGACTAAAGGTGAAACCAAACTCACTTATAGTAGAATTGAATTTTGCAAACCAAGCTTGGCTCGTCGCAATTGACATACCTTATTCGAAGGAGGAGTAAGTCTAGGAGGCGGTTTCATGTAAACCTCATCTTCCAAATCACCATTAAGAAAGGCATTCACATCCATCTAAAACAGCTTCCATTTATGTACAGCAGCAATAGCTAATAAACTGCGTACTGTGGTAAGACGAGCAACAAGAGCAAAGGTCTCCTCATAGTCAATGCCATATTCCTGCGTAAAACCTTTTGCCACCAGATGTGCCTTATAGTGCTCCGAAAATCCATCAGAACGAGTTTTGATCTTGTATACCCACTTGCATCCAACAAGAGTCTTATTAGTAGAAAGATCAACCAAGTCCTAAGTACTTGTCTTTTCCAAAGCCTATAATTCCTCTTTCATAGCTTGCTGCCATAGAGGATCTAAAGAAGCTTCCTTGTAGGACTGAGGTTCATGTAAAAAGGTGAGTGCAGAAAAACAATGATAATCTTGAAGATATGTAGGTGGATTTCTTAACCACGTTGGATGACTAGAAAAAGAAGTAACTGGTGGATTTTCAATCTCATTTGTTCCAGGTGCAATATCCGTAGAAGAGACATCTTCTGAAACAGGAGCCGTGGAAGTTTGATCATTTGAAAGCTCATTAGGAGACCTTGCATCATCATTAGGAGACCCTGCATCATCATTAGGAAATAACTCAAGGGATGGATTAGTGAAGATAGGAGGTTGATGAGAAGGAAACGCCTTGAATTCAGAAAGAGAAGCAAACATAGTGTGTTTCCAAAAAATGACATGAGGAGAGACACGGAGTTTTTGTGATACTGGATCCCAACAACGATAACCTTTATGTTGTATCCCATACCCCAGAAACAACAAAGTCGAGCTCGAGGCTCTAACTTGTGATGTTCATGAGAAGGTAAAAGAATAAAACAAGCACAACCAAAAATTTTAAGAAGATCATAGGTAGGAAGAATACCGTAGAGACACGCATAGGGAGATTTATTTTGTGTGACGATAAAGAGGACTTGATTTATGACATAGATAGATGTAAATGTAGCTTCACCCCAAAAACACTCAGGACATGAAGAGGAAATCAAGAGAGCACGAACTAAGTCTAAAATATGACGATGTTTTCGCTCAACCCACCCATTTTCTTAGAGGTATATGGACAAGATCTTTGTTGTATTATGCCCTGCTCTTTAAGAAAAGTCTGAAATTTAGAATCGAGATATTCAAGAGCATTATCAGTTCTCAAGACCTTGATAATTTTAGAGAATTGAGTCTTAATCATATTAGCAAACTCAATATAAATTTGAGGTAATTCTGAGCATTTTTTCATCAAATATAGCCAAGTGAAGTGAGAATGATCATCAATAAATAACACAAAATATTTTGAACCACCCATGGTAGGAGTGGGAGATGGTCCCCATATGTCAAAATGTACTAAATCAAAAGGTGTAAGTGAAATGGAATCACTTTTATTAAAAGATAAAGCAGGCTGTTTAGCAACTTGACACGAGACACAATGCAAAGACTCTTCTTTAATAGAACCTAAAGACCCATTGTTGAATTAAAGGACGAAGTTTACTAATAGAGTCATGACCAAGACGAAGATGCCACAAGTGCAAAGAGGAAGATGTTGAGACTGCATACAACTGGGAAATGTAACTAGAAGGGATTTGCAAGAAGGTGAGCTCAAACAAACGTCCAACTTTACGACTTGTCCCAAGAATCTGTCTCATCTGTGGATCCTGCATACGACAACCATGAGTAGAGAATATTAGTTCAAGACGAAGTTCACACAGTTGTCCCACAGAAATAAGATTGAAAGTAAGTTTTAGTATCAAGAAAGTGTTTGGTAAGGTAAAGGTAGAAGTAGAAACTTGATCATATTGGCTAACTTGCATTTGTGAACCATCAGCAATATGGATAGGAGGTGTGATGGTATTAGGAGTTAATGTAGAACAAAGTGTAGAGTTTGAAGTTATATGATTGCAACAACCCGAGTCAAAAATCCAAGAAACTTTACCTGGGATGGTAGGCAAGGCAGTAGATGTAGAGGAAGATGATATCATTTGTCTAAGAAGGGTTTCTAGATTACCAATCGAAGGATGGACTGAGGTATCCTCATTGGCAGCAACTGCAACAACCACAGGCTTGGAAGACTGATCAGGCTTTGATTGGGTCTTCCACTGATCACATCTTTGAGGTAGTGAAGTAGTACAATTAGGCGCAATATGGCCTTTCTGCTTGCATTTATGACATTCTACCAAACTACATTCATATATAGCATGCCCGCACTTGTTACAATGCCGGCAATACTTCTGTCCTCTCTTACTCGAAGGAAACTTGTTGACAGCTACAGCCATAGTAGTATCTCGTTGAGGCTTAAGTAAGCCTAGATGAGTTTCATCAGATAATAATCGTGAGAGAGCACTATCCAAGGTAGGTAAAGGAGATTGATACAATAGAGAGGCTTTGCATGGTTCAAAATCATCAACAAGTTCCATAAGAAATTGAATTAACCTCATTTTATCACGATACTCAATGTACTCCCCAATATCAATAGTGTCATTGAAGGTTGGTTTTGAGAGAGCAAGCTGATCCCAAATAGCCTCCATCTTAGCATAAAAACTAGTAATGGACTCTCCACGTTCTTGTTTCAAATTGTGTAACTCTTCCCACAATTGATATTGATTGGATAAATCAGAAGTGGTATACCTGGCTGCAAGCAAATCCCACACTTCCTTAGTTGTTTCATACCGTCCAAACTGAAGGTGAATGGAAGGAATTGAGGTGTTACGAAACCAAGTGATGATTTGATGGTTTTTGCTATCCCAATCCTCTAGATGGTCAACATACTCCTTATCTGTCTCATCAGTAACCTTATGTGGAAGTGTAATGTCACCAGTAATATACAGCCATAATTTTCGACCCTTCAAGAAACTGCGCATACTTTGAGCCCATAGTACATAATTTGAACCATTGAGAATGGTTGAAATTGGTTGCAAAATATTAGATTTCTCCATAATTAAATAAAAAAGGATATCTTGTAAGAAAAGAAAATCTGACCGAGCAGAACACCGGGTCGAAGTAGAACACTGGAAAAGATGGGAGCGATTTCGGACGGCAAAGATCTGTGCAGCGGGAATTTCGGACACACAGCAGCAATCACAGCAACCAAATCCGAAACTAATTTGCGAGTGGAACACGATCGGAACAAACACGACTAGAAACGGTGCTGGTCTAAGAAGTGAAACAAGTGATGCTGGTCGGCACGAAACATTGCTGATGTAGAGAATTAAAAACACAAAATCCTAAAGAAATAAAAGAGTTGACTGTGCTCTAATACCATGTGATGAAATAAGCAAGAGAGAAAAATATGAAGAAAAAACTTTTCTTGATTCATTTGAATATACATAGTACCTATTTATAGGCCTGTACAAGAAAATATTCTGTGATACAAAATCAATTAATCTAATTATGTCATTCAATTATAATCTGAATATAATTGTAGCAATGTGGACAAAATCAAGGGAGACTGTTCTGTAACAACGAGCATACCTATAATCCATTTTTTGTGACCCTAAAAATAGATCAAAACACTAGTCTGAAGCGCTAAATGGTGAGACTACTAACTGAAATAAAGAAAAATATTCTATTGCTTTTAGCATGCCCCAGGTGCAATACAAAGAACCCAATTATTGTGTCCTGAATTAAATTCGAAGGTCCTCAGGTCCATGATTAATAAGGGACAGGAAGGAATGCAAAGAAGAAAGTATCCACTAAAATTTCAACTCTAGCATATCCTTCATCTTATTTAGTTTGCATAATTCTATTTCTTATTTGTTTGTTCGTTTCCTGCACATCTTCATTGTGTTTAGGACAGGCTAAGAAAGCAGAGAATTCCTTCCTACCTGTCCATGTGAACATTAGCGTCTGAGTATTTAGGTCCCTCAGTCGGTAGTGGTATCACCAGAACCATTCGCTAAATGTCGCCCCTCAGGACTAAAGGCAACAGGAAGTACAGCTTCTGTATGACCTTTGGACCAAAAAAATTATAGATATTGAAGAGAACCAATTGAATAATTCAAAGAATCATGATAGTAAGTAGTTTCTATAATATGATGAATCGACATGAAGAAGCTTACAGCTCTCGTTATCAAGTCTTCTACTTTCCAAAAGAAAATACTCAAACCAGCAATTTAGCCAAAAAAACAATTAACTGGACAAATGCGGAAAACAGCCTGCAGTTGACAAACTATTGAGTACCTTCTCCACAGACATTGAAAATTAAAAATATTTAATGGACACAGGATTAGCTGTAGGAGAGACATTGCAAGGAAGCAAGATAGAAAAAAACATTCAGGTGAAGAATCCCAAAATCCATGCGAAAAATTACATTTTTGAGAAGCGTATTGACGATCTGTTGAAGAGTCGGAGGGCCAACGTCCTGCGGAAGGGTACAAGGTGCTGCCTAATTGTATCCCCTCTGGATCTGACATTTTTCCTCGTTTCTCATTCCTTAAGTTCTGTTTCCATATCCATCCGAGACTCTAGATTCATTTCAATTGCACCATGTCATCCCCTGTAAAGAGGCAGCTAGTGTTTCTGGGTTTTGCGCGCGAAGAAGAAAGCGGAATTTGGAAATTGAGGGCTTTTGTTGGGTTTACGTGGTGGTCGTTGGCTGTGTTGTTTATCACCTGAGCTTAATATGGGTGGTCACGTGGCTGTGTCTATACCTTTGGATCTAAATTTAAAAATAGTAAAACCATTTATTTATTTTTTTTTTTGTGTAAATACCATTTTATAATATATATCTCTACAGTTTCATAAAAGTGTCTCCATATTTATTTTCTTTATTTTTTTGGTATAATGATAACGTGCTATCATGATTAGTTTTCATACACCACATTAAGTTTGCCTTTTTTATCTTATCAAAAACAAATTATTTATATAAGTATTAAAAAATTTTATTAAAAATTATTTTTTCAATAATTTTCTCAATATATTAAAAATTAGTCAACAACAATAACAATCACCGGTTGCCATTATTATTTATATAATATTGATATATAAACGACAGAATTATTTCTAATACATTCAACATAGATTTCCTTATAAAGAAAACTAAGAATTAATACTGACAAGTCAGAGATAAAATTTTTTTAATACAATATTAACTCCATTGCAAAATTCACAAGGGAGTAGTAATCTTAGATGCAAACAATTGACAACCTTCAAGATAATATCCAGAGACAATCTTAACACGGAGGCATATCGGGGGGTGGTGGTGACAATTTTCCATTTTTAGAATTACCATTCTTGACTATGAACACTGTATCCATGCCCCATACAGTGTGTCGATCAAAATGGCAATGCATAAACCACACCCCTATTTGGGAAAAAGAAAGAAAAAGGGTTGTTAGAGAAATGATTGACATAACACATATTTTTAAACAATAAAAAGACAAAAATGTGTTTTTAGTTCAAATTACAAAAAATATATATATAATTTAAGCAATAAAATTACCATAATAAATCTTTAATGAATTTCTTCTTATTTTAATTCATTAATTATATCATCCGCTAATTTCATATCCGAACTGCATTTTTTTCCTCTTTTATGTGGTTTGAACTAGAAAGCTGAATTCATAAAAAGAAATAATGTGACACTTACCTGGATTATTGGCTTTGAATCTAATGGTGGTCCAGCCCTGTACAGGAACAGCAATAGTATTTTGAAAAGGAGGATCAACCAGATTATACGTTGAGGGATCCGTCTCATTATCGAAAGTACCCGTACCCGATCCCACGACATAAAAACTATATCCATGAAGATGTATCGGATGGGAGCTGCCTGCAAGGTCAGTAGTCCGAAAAACAATCTCCACTGTGGAATTGTAGTCAAGTACCTTCACCTTTGTCTTACGTATCAGCAGTTGTAGAGTAGTGTCAGGAAATGATGTGTCATACACCCCATTGATACCGTAATAATAAGCTTGTAATACATCAATGGATGGATTGACGAAGCTAACATTGTTGACGCTAGCCACTCGTGTCGAAAATCCAAGGTTCACTAAAAATAAATAGTCCAAGCTTACGTCGACTACTGTTGGAACATCAATTGGATGTTTTTTATCAGCTAAGCTCCGGAAACTATTGGTAAAGTTAAGAAATGATGTTGTATCATTGTAGTCAGGAAGAGAAGAGAATATCGGCGATGAAGATGGAGTATATTTCCCACTATATTTTATGATGGCTGTGGTGGTGGTATTGTCCGTATTGGCAGCGGCACGAACGCCAGTGTAAACACTGGCAGCCATGTAATAGTGGTTGGGACTTTGGTTAGCTTTCAAAAGCACATCAATTGTTTGGCCAGGAGATATTGCTATGAAGCTTGACGAGAATGGCTTGAGGTAGCTAGCGTCAGATGCAACTACAGTGACATTGTGGTCGGCTATGGAGAAGAAGAGCACATCTTGCAATGCGGAATTGATTATGCGTAAGAGATATGTCAAACCTTTACTAACTGTGATATTAAATGTTTCTGAAATAATAAAAAAAATGAAGGCATTAGTTAATAGAAAAAATAAAGGCATCAGTTAATAGAAAAAGTGTATTATTACACCCATAAGTTCGTCGAACAGCACTTCTTAATATTGAAAAAGTGTATTATTACACCCATAAGTTCGTCGAACAGCACTTCTTAATATTTTATCCTTTGATTTTTTATGTATTTTTATTATTTTAAAAATATATAAAATATTAATTAAGATAAATATTAAATATATAAAATATAGTTTATATACATTTGAATGGTAAAAAAACTAAAAATCAATCATTGTAATTACAAATCAATTTTGTCAAACTAAATCTTAAACTTAGGTACACATTATAAAAATTATTTTTCTTATCAGATAAACTATAAAGATTTGACCTGATTTAGAGCAGTTGTAGAGATCGCCTGGCTGGCCATTGATGGTGTAAGCATCAGAAGTATTTGGGTCGTTTCCGGATTGGACAATGTTGTTTTCTTCCGCTATTGATTCTTTCCACCACTCCCCTTCATTTTAAGGGATTTCAGACTTCGAAATCATTAAAAATGAAATTTTACAGCTAACATAATCTCCTTATATTTGGCCACCCACCTAACATAATTATTGAGCTATGTTTTTAGGGTGTATATATGTATATTCTCAATTACCTATTTTCAAGATGCATAAATATGATAACTCAAATATAGTCAGTACTTATCTAAATTTTGAAATAAATAACAAAAATTTTATGTAATCTTTTCACATGTAACTTAATCTTCAGTATACTCTATGTATTATAATAATGTGCTGATTATCAGTTGCATTATTGTCTATATAACTAATATAAAAGTGCAAATATTATACCCAATAAAATAGGGAATTGTGCAGCAGGTTTAGGAAAGGGGTATGGATCTCCCATCTTGAGACACATCGCTACAGCACCATAAACAGTTGTTCGGAATCATTTAAAAATGAAATTTCGCAGCTAACATTATCTCCTTTTCTTTTTTTAGGCCACCCACTTAACATGATCATTGAGCTAGTTTTTTTAGTGTTTATATATGTATATGGCTAGGGATATTTAAACATACCTATAAGATTTATATAAATTTTTAACCACTTAATTTTAAATTTCATGCATAAATATGATAACTCAAGTATTGCTTATAATTATTTAAATTTTAAAATAAATGATTAAAATTTATGTAAAATTTTTACATGTAACTTAATCCCTATTGTGTGGATATGTGCTATACTATGCTGATTATTAATTGCATTATTGTTGATATAGCTAACATATAAGTGCAAATATTATACCTAATAAAATGGGGAATTCTGCTGCAGGTTTAGGAAAGGGGTATGTATCTCCTATCTTGGGATATATGACTATAGCACCATAAA